CCTAATCTATGGATTTCACATGACTGGGCTTTGGCGGAGCCATAGGTTGGCCTTGGAGGGCATAGGCCCACCCACTGGGGAGCCAGGCCCACCCACTGGGGAGCCAGGCCCAGCCAATGGGGAGCCAGGCCCAGCCAATCAGAATTAGTTTTTCCCCACAAAAAGGCTTTATTACAGACATAAATACTCCTCAGTTTCATCAGCTGTTCTCAGATGATCCCGCAGGTGAAAGAAGCCAGATGTTGAGATCCTGAGCTGGCGTGGTTACAAGTGGTCTGCGGTTGTGAGGCTGGTTGGTCGTACTGCCATATTCTCTAAAACGACGTTAGAGGCGGCTTATGGTAGAGAAATAAACGTTCAGTTCTCTGGCAACAGCTCTGCTGGAAATTCCTGCAGTCAGTATGCCAATTTCATGCTCCCTCAAAACCTGAGACATCTGTGGCATTGTGTTGTGTGACAAACTGCACATTTTAGAGTGGCCTTTTATTGTCCCCAGCACAAGGTGCACCTGTGTAATGATCATGCTGTTTAATCAGCTTCTTGATATGCCACACCTGTCAGGTGGATGGATTATCTTGGCAAAGGAAAAATGCTCACTAACAGGGTTGTAAACAAATTTGTGCAAAACAATTTAGAGAAATAAGATTTTTGTGCGTATGGAACATTTCTGGGATCTTTTATTTCAGCTCATGAAACATGGGACCAACACTTTACATGTTGCGTTTATATTTTTATTGAGTATATACAGTGCATTCAGACCTGAATGTGACTGGCAGAACGGGTGTTGTATGTGGAGGATGAGGGCTGCAGTAGGTATCTCAGATAGGGGGGGAGTGAGGCCTAAGAGGGATTTAGAAATAAGCATCAACCAGTGGGTCTTGCGACGGGTATACAGAGATGACCAGTTTACAGAGGGGTAAAGAGTGCAGTGATGTGTCCTATAAGGAGCATTGGTGGCAAATCTGATGGCCGAATGGTAAAGAACATCTGGCCGCTCGAGAGATCTGGGGAAGCGTACCAAAACATTTCTGCAGCATTGAAGGTCCCCAAGAACACAGTGGCCTCCATCATTCTTAAATGGAAGAATGACGGCGGTTGGAACCAAAAATCTCAAATTTGGACTCCAGACCAATGGACAAATTTCCACCGGTCTAATGTCCATTGCTCGTGTTTCTTGGCCCAAACTAGTCTCTTCTTCTTATTGGTGTCCTTTAGTAGTGGTTTCTTTGCAGCAATTCGACCATGAAGGCCTGATTCACACAGTCTCCTCTGAACAGTTGATGTTGAGATGTGTCTGTTACTAGCATTTATTTGGGCTGCAATTTCTGAGGCTAGTAACTCTAATGAACTTATCCTCATGAGAGCCAGTTTCATCATAGCGCTTGAAGGTTCTTGCGACCGCACTTGAAGAAACTTTAAAAGTTCTTGAAATGTTCTGTATTGACTGACATTCATGTCTTAAAGTAATGATGGACTGTCGTTTCTCTTTGCTTATTTGAGCTGTTCTTGCCATAATATGGACTTGGTCTTTTACCAAATAGGGCTGCCTTCTGTATACCCCCCCCCTCCCCCCACCTTGTCACAACACAATTGATTGGCTCAAACACATTAAGAAGGAAATCAATTCTACAAATGAACTGTTAAGAAGGCACACCTGTTAATTGAAATGCATTCCAGGTGACTACCTCATGAAGCTGGTTGAGAGAATGCCAAGAGTGTGCAAAAGCTGTCATCAAGGCAAAGGGTGGCTATTTGAAGAATCTGAAATACAAAATATATTTTGATTTGTTTAGCACTTTTATGGTTACTACATGATTCCATATGTGTTATTTCATAGTTTTGATGTCTTCACTATTATTCTACAATGTAAAAAATAGTAAAAATAAAGAAAAACCCTTGAATGAGTAGGTGTGTCCAAACTTTTGACTGGTACTGTACAGTGAGGGAAAAAAGTATTTGATACATACATACATACACATATAAACATACACAAAAATAAATACAAAATATCATAACTGTAAGGTCAAGTTCAAGTTCACTACCCCAGTCTGTCTTGATTTTGTTTATTGGAGAGGGTTCAGAGGAAAGCATAACGTCATATAATCTAGACATCCAGACAACATCTCTTCTAGCAACGTCTCGGGAGGTAGTTGGAGGAAAGGTGGGAAAATGAGAGCAAACAAAGTTACTGGCCTGAAAATAGCGGAAAAATATTTAGAATGAGCCAGATTACATTTAGCTACGAAATCATTCAAAACTGGCAAACTTCCACTTCTAAAAATATATATATATTTGAAACATACGAAACCTCTCTCTCGCCACAAAACAAAAGCCTGGTCGAGTTTGGGTGGTAAAAATAGGTGGTTGTTACAAGAGAAGAGGCAGAAAGTCTAAAATGTTTGACGAAACTGTGTCCGGATCTTCAAAGTAGAGAGCACAATTACATCATTTAGCAGACGCTCTTATCCAGAGCAATTAGGGTTAAGTGCCTTGCTCAAGGGCACATCGACAGATTATTCACCTAGTCGGCTCGGGGATTAGAACCAGCGACCTTTGCGGTTTCTGGCACAACGCTCTTAACCACTAAGCTACCTGCCGCCACAATGGGGTTTGAAGGACACAAGGACAGAGGGGGCAGTAAGAGCAGAAAGGGACTGTGCTTCTATCGAGCATCAGTTGGAGAATTACCCCAGACCGTCATCTAATATTGGCTGGAAGTTCCAATCCTCCATCTTGTCTCCTTCTTTGAAGTATTGCTCTACGTATCCTAGGTGATTTGCCTGCCCTGATAAAATGGCTGATGAAGCACGGGCCGTTCTTACAGTGTTCTCCCTGTACACAGAACCGTAGGATAAATAAGCAGACAATGAAAGCTCTTACAATATTCGATGATGACATTTCTCTAAAACAGGCTATAGGCTACATGTGCACCACCAAGTCAGAACAGTAGGCTAAGTTATGAGGGGGAAAGGGACCAAATTATTAGGGTGAGGCACATGGGCTACTAACAGCTTACTACACAACATACACTTAGTATTACTTTCTTAGCTACATTATACATATCTCCCTGGCATATTACATCACGTATGCAGCAGCATAGAATACCTATTTTTGGCCTCATCTTGTTGTGCTGTGCTCACTTGAACACTTTAACAAATGTTGTTCTCAAACACGTTTTCTGGCCCATGGTGTTGCGTGTGTAGGTTTTTTTTCTCCTTTTGTGGCTGGAAAAGTTTTTCTCTAACTCGAGGTTTAATCGCAGTAATGATTTTGAGAAGAGAGATCGTCTCAGACAACGCAGGTTGTTCTCGTAGAGTGATTTCAATAAAGAAAGTGCCGTCTTTCCCAGTGTGCAGCTCAGGATGCCGGTAGAGAGTGGACAGCTCCGTTTTCAGCTTCTCCTGGTTGACCACAGGCCACAGCTTGGTAGCACACTGGAGTTCTGCGGTCGGAAAGCAAATCACATACTAGGGGGAAAAATGAGCTGTCCAGCAACTTTGCCTCAATCAAGTGGTCACTTTCAGAAAACCATTTTTTTGCACATGAGCAGCGATTGTGTTGCATGCCTCCTTGGTTCAGTGGCTTCAACACGTCCTGTGGCCAGTGCAGCAGTTTTCTCGCCTTTCTCGAATCTTCACCTTGAAGTTGTCGATTGTTTCCGGTGATTCCTGCTGCATCAACGGCTCGTTTCTGCACTATGTTGTACAAAACATCCACCTCTGGCATGAAAAAAAGAAAATAACTCAAGCAGTTGCAGAAATGTGGGATCCTTGAGTTACATGAACAGGCCATAAGCCACGCTGACGGTGATCTCATCCCATCCAGGCTGCGCCCTCCATGCACTGGGCCAGGCACCTCACAGTCCTCCCACACAGCATTGAGGGTTCTGCTTTTGAAGTTCCATCATGAACCCGGTGTGACCCATCTGTTCGGTGACTCCTTGAGAGCGGAGAGCCCCAGAAAAAGTTGGAAAGAGGAGGATAGGTCTGCAAAAACCCTTTAAGCACTCTCACTCTCCCTGCAAAGTTAGATTCAGTTGGTGAAGGAGAAGCTGGTTGCACAAACTGCATGTTTGGGTAAGTCTCCTTCAGTAGCGTTTGGACACCACGTACATTACCAGTCATCACCGCTGCCCCTTCGGGAGGGGAGAGGAGACTATTGGAGAGGAGGGGAGAGGACGGGTGAGGATGAGAGGGGAGAGGAGAAGAGAAGAGAGGAGAGGAGACAAGAGGAGAGGAGGGGAGAGGACGGGAGGGGAGAGGAGACAAGAGGAGAGGAGGGGAGAGGAGACAAGAGGAGAGGAAGGGAGAGGACGGGGGGGGAGGGGAGGGAAGTGGAAGGGAGGGGAGACAAGAGGAGGGGAGAGGAGAGGAGACAATAGGAGGCAAGAGGAGAGGAGAGGAGAGGATGAGGAGAGGAGAGGAGAGGAGAGGAGAGGAGAGGAGAGGAGAGGAGGAGAGGAGAGGAGAGGAGAGGAGAGAGGAGAGGAGAGGAGAGGAGAGGAGGAGGGGGAGGGAAAATGATGGGAGGGGAGAGGACAGGAGGAGAGAGGAGAGGATGGGAGGAGAGGAGGACAAGAGGAGAGGAGAGGAGAAAAGAGGAGGAAAAGAGGAGAGGGGAAAGGGGGGAGAGGAGGGGGGGAGAGAGAGGGAAGGGGAGAGGAGAGGAAGGAAGGGGGGAGGAGAAGGGGGAGGGAGAGGAGAGGGAAGGGGGGGAAGAACAAGGGGAGGGGAGGGGAGCAGGAAGGGGGAAAAGAAAGGAGGAGAGGAGAGCGGAGGAGAGGAGAGGAGAGGAGAGGAAGGGAAAAGGAGGGAGAGGAGAGGAGAGGAGAGGAGGAGGAGAGGAGAGGAGAGGAGAGGGGAGGGGGGGGGAGGAGGAGAGGAGGGGGAGGGGAGAGGAGAGGAGAGGAGGGGAAAGAGGAGAGGAGAGGAGAGGGGAGGAGAGGAGAGGAGAGGGAGAGGAGAGGAGAGGAGAGGAGAGGAAAAGGCCCAGTAAAAAACATGTCCCGTTACTGGGTTATTGGTACTGGTGGTACTGGTGGTACTGGTGGTACTGGTGGTACTGGTGGCCTGACCCACTAGGGGAGTCACATTACCACCAATACAGGGATATAAGTATTTGATCCCCTCCTCGCAAGGGTCTGCGTCTCCCTGACAACCCAGCTCTGAGAGAGGCGGTGAAGGGAGCTGTGTTTACTTCCTGGTTCGCCGGATCCTCCAACCTCGGGGTTAACAGGTGGAGCTGAGTGTACAGAGGAAGTATACAGTGCGTGTGTGTGTGTTGATACGATGTGAGATTTGTTGTACAGTGAGGGAATTAAGTATTTGATCCCCTGCTGATTTTGTACGTTTGCCCACTGACAAAGAAATGATCAGTCTATAATTTTAATGGTAGGTTTATCTGAACAGTGAGAGACAGAATAACAACAACAAAATCCAGAAAAACGCATATCAAAAATGTTATTAATTGATTTGCATTTTAATGAGGGAAATAAGTATTTGACCCCGCAAAACATGACTTAGTACTTGGTGGAAAAACCCTTGTTGGCAATCACAGAGGTCAGACGTTTCTTGTAGTTGGCCACCAGGTTTGCACACATCTCAGGAGGGATTTTGTCCCACTCCTCTTTGCAGATCTTCTCCAAGTCATTAAGGTTTCGAGGCTGACGTTTGGCAACTCAAACCTTCAGCTCCCTCCACAGATTTTCTATGGGATTAAGGTCTGGAGACAGGCTAGGCCACTCCAGGACCTTAATGTGCTTCTTCTTGAGCCACTCCTTTGTTGCCTTGGCCATGTGTTTTGGGTCATTGTCATGCTGGAATACCCATCCACGACCCATTTTCAATGCCCTGTCTGAGGGAAGGAGGTTCTCATCCAAGATTTGACGATACATGGCCCCGTCCATCGTCCCTTTGATGCGGTGAAGTTGTCCTGTCCCCTTAGCAGAAAAACACCCCCAAAGCATAATGTTTCCACATCCATGTTTGACGGTGGTTATGGTGTTCTTGGGGTCATAGGCAGCATTCCTCCTCCTCCAAACACGGCGAGTTGAGTTGATGCCAAAGAGCTCCATTTTGGTCTCATCTGACCACAACACTTTCACCCAGTTCTCCTCTGAATCATTCAGATGTTCACTGGCAAACTTCAAACGGGCATGTATATGTGCTTTCTTGAGCAGAGGGACCTTGCGGGCGCTGCAGGATTTCAGTCCTTCACGGCGTAGTGTGTTCCCAATTGTTTTCTTGGTGACTATGGTCCCAGCTGCCTTGAGATCATTGACAAGATCAGTTCTGGGCTGATTCCTCACCGTTCTCATGATCATTGCAACTCCACGAGGTGAGCTTTTGCATGGAGCCCCAGGCCGAGGGAGATTGACAGTTATTTTGTGTTTCTTCCATTTGCGTATAATCGCACCAACTGTTGTCACCTTCTCACCAAGCTGCTTGGCGATGGTCTTGTAGCCCATTCCAGCCTTGTGTAGGTCTACAATGTTGTCCCTGACATCCTTGGAGAGCTCTTTGGTCTTGGCCATGGTGGAGAGTTTGGAATCTGATTGATTGATTGCTTCTGTGGACAGGTGTCTTTTATACAGGTAACACACTGAGATTAGGAGCACTCCCTTTAAGAGTGTGCTCCTAATCTCAGCTCGTTACCTGTATAAAAGACACCTGGGAGCCAGAAATCTTTCTACTTGAGAGGGGGTCAAATACTTATTTCCCTCATTAAAATGCAAATCAATTTATAACATTTTTGACATGCGTTTTTCTGGATTTTGTTGTTGTTATTCTGTCTCTCACTGTTCAAATAAACCTACCATTAAAATTATAGACTGATCATTTCTTTGTCAGTGGGCAAACGTACAAAATCAGCAGGGGATCAAATACTTTTTTCCCTCACTGTATATGTTAATATATGTTAATATATGTTAATATTTGTTAATATATTTTAATGTCATTTTTTTGGCAACAGTTACAACACCCTAAAGGCTGCGTTTAAATAGGATCTTTTTTTTCACTAATTGGTCTTCTGACCAATCAAATCAGCTCTGGAAAAGAGCCGACGTGAAAAGGTCTGATGTGATTGGTCAAAAGATCAGTTAGTGGAAAAAATATCAGAATTGGGCTGCCTATTTAAACGCAGCCTAATTGATCTAATTCAAATCAGCATCTTATTAAAAGACGGGAATCTGTGGGATTAAGTTCACCATATGTGGCTCCCACAATTACACTTAAATTGTCATTGGCTGCACTTTCTCATTCTGAACTTCTAACGTTTTAGTCAATTAGCAGACGCTCTTATCCAAAGCGACTTACAATTAGTGAGTGCATATATTTTTCATACTGCCCCCCCCCGTGGGAATTGAACCCACGACCCAGGCGTTGCAAGCGCCACGCTCTACCAACTGAGCTACAGGAGGGCCAATAACAGTGGAGTGGGTGTGGCTTCCTGTCAACTATTGCAAGAGCAGCTACTCACCGGTTTGACCGTTCCACCACTGTTCCACCCTGACACCGCCAAAACATCTGCTATGCTGGTCTGCTATCACCGGTTAACTCTTTCGATCTGATTGAATCTAGGCCTTAGATTGATTCAGACTATTTTGAGGTAGTGTTACTGTTTTTTTTTTGTTTTTTTTATACGGCGTCTCAAGAGGGACAAACAGTAATATTGCTGTTTTTTTCTAGTTTTTCAAGCAAAATGTCTTTTTTTGAGGTAGTATGCAAGGCACAGATGTCCTAGCCTAGTTCTGCTAGGAGCAAACCAAACCTAGTGTGCTGACACCTTTACCGCGGATATAATTATGGCCACATTTCCACTACCTCTCCATCTATTAGACCATCAGGTGACATCCTGACAACAGAAATGTTCCTGCAACGTTTCTAGAACGTTCTGAGAACATGGCAGCCATGTTCTGTGTACGTTTGGTGGGACGTTGACGGAACGTTCTCCTAACCCTCAGAAAACTGGACACACGAAGCAAACGTGTCTAGAACATTAATATAGGATCATCTGAGAACATGGTAACCACGTTCTGGGTATCTTCTGTTTGACGTTTAGGAAATGTTTTCCTAACTCTTAACGCCAATTCCTGCAAAATAGGTTCTCAGGATGTTTTTGTTAACATACATAGAATGTTCCCTTAACTAATGGAAAACTGGACACTCAAACATCTGGCGAACATTACGGGTAACATTACAAATTAAAAATGTGCTATAACGGTGACAAACAGTGCCCACAAACTGTTAGGGCCTCCATAAAGCCGTCCCAACAGCAGAGTCCCAACAGCAGAGTCCCAACAGCAGAGTCCCAACAGCAGAGTCCCAACAGCAGAGTCCCAACACCTTACCACTGCTACACCTGGCTATCAGAGGAGCCTTGTCTGGCAGCGAAACAGTTCATTCAGCCTCATTTACTGCCTTTAAAAAAAACATAGCTGATATGGCTGACTTGCTTGAACAAATGTGGTTTCTACAGACAACTGAGATGTACAAACTATGGCATAAGGGGACGACAAGCAGATAAGAGGCAATCCGTAATATCGATTAAGACATTAATGAGCGAGCTGGGACGGACGGAGTCAATATAACTATTTGTTCAGCACTTTTGAAATGTACAGCGACAGAATTCAGAACATGGGCCATTCTTACAGTGTTCTCCCTGTACACCAAGTCAGAACCATAGGATAAATAAAGGGGGCATATAAGCAGACAATGAAAGCTCTTACAAAATTCGATGATGACATTTCTCTAAAACAGGCTACAGGCTAAGTTATGAGGGGAAAAGGGACCAAGTGATTAGGTTGAGGCACATGGGCTACTAACAGCTTACTACACAACTGTCACGCCCTGGCTCTGGGGACACTGTTATGTTGAGCCAGGGTGTGTAGATCTATGTATTCTATTTCATGTTGGGAGTTCTAGTTTGTTTATTTCTATGTTGGCCAGAGTGACTCCCAATCAGAGGCAACGAGTGTCAGCTGTCAGCTGGTTGTCTCTGATTGGGAGCCATATTTAAACAGTCTGTTTTTCATTCGTGGGTGTGGGATTTTGTTTCTAGTCTGTTTATGGTAGACCGTGAACTGTCACGTATCGTTTGTTGTTTTGATCGTGTCTCGTAATAAAGAGTATGTTTGCCTGCAACGCTGCGCCTTGGTCCTCATCTATTCCCTACGACGAGCGTGACAACAACATACACTTAGTATTACTTTCTTAGCTACAGTATACATATCTCCCTGGCATATTTCATCATTTATGCAGCAGCATACAATACATTTTTGGACTCACCTTGTTGTGCTGTGCTCCCTTGAACACTTGAACAAATTTTGTCATCAACCTTTGTCATCAAAGTCTGGCATTCTCTGGATTTATGGTGCGTTCAAGACATCTGGGAACTCGGAAAAAAACAAGGTTGCATCATGACGTCAGTGATCTTCAGGTCGGAGCTCTAGAAAGAGGCCCGAGTTCCCGACTTGGAATTCCAAGTTGGATGACTGTTCAAAACGTATTTTCCCAGTCGGAGCTAGTTTTATTCAGAGTTCCCAGTTGTCTTGAACTCACTGAAGTCTGAGATTTCCCAGTTCCGAGTTTCCAGTTGTTTCGAATGTGGCAGAAGTCATGCTGGATTGACAGCATGGCCAATATTGAATGTTTATCCTTTTAAGCTTGGGAAAGAGACCCTTAGACCCAGACTTGGACCACACACCCACTCCACTGAATAGCAGGCTAGTGATTGCTTTACAATGCTTGCAGTTAGCCACTGATTCCCTCCAAACCACTCATTGTTGAATTTGCGATTTCCAACTTGTTGTGTAATGTTTATGTCCAATGGCCGATGAGCACCGATATGTTTTATCTATAATTTCACTTCATAATTTCTCTTCATATGACAAGGATTGAAAAGGATTTGCCAGTAGATTGTCGACTTGATTCATGATGATGACTGCTAGCTAAGATTTTCAAAGTATGACGTTGACATGATAAGTCCAATCAATGCTACAGTACAAATAACGTGATTTGACGTGGCCAATGACCTTGAGCCTTCTTGGATGGGCACTTCTAATGTAACTCTATGGCAGCACCGAAGGGGCTTGAATTTTCGAGCTCTACCTTTGGATTGGGCGGTGGCGTAGCGTCCCCCATGAGTGACAGAACACTGAGCCAATCACGGCGCAACTAGAGAACATTACCAACACCTACGCTCTGTATTTTCCGCTGGCTGCCCCACCACCACAGAAAGCTCTGAGCTAGGCTGAAACACCTGCAGTTTTGGAGCTGCCTTACTCAAGAAAGCAGAAAAGAGACCACGTTTGTATGGAGGCTTTATTAACTCAATGATTATTTTATTTTTTACATTGTTTGCAAACTGATATGTTACATTTATTAATGCCAAAATAACATGCAAAACAGGTGGGGCTGAAAACACCTGAATGACTCGTCGCCTCTGCATAACACTCAGTCATCTTGATCAGTGATAGTCTATTAGGAAATGGCTACTGGTTACATTTACATTTACGTCATTTAGCAGACGCTCTTATCCAGAGCGACTTACAGTTAGTGAATACATATCTATTTATACTGTCCCCCCGTGGGAATCGAACCCACAACCCTGGCGTTGCAAACGCCATGCTCTATCAACTGAGCTACATCCCTGCCGGCCATTCCCTCCCCTACCCTGGACGACGCTGGGCCAATTGTGCGCCGCCCCATGAGTCTCCCGGTCGCGGCCGGCTGCGACAGAGCCTGGATTTGAACCAGGATCTCTAGTGGCACAGTTAGCACTGCGATGCAGTGCCTTAGACCACCGCGCCACTCAGGAGTTCGGATACTGCAACTGTTATGACTGTTTCTAGGGAAACGAGAGCAAGGTCGGCCTCCCGCGGTGTCACGGCAATACAACATTTTACATTTTAGTTATTTAGCAGACGCTCTAATCCAGAGCGATTTACCGTTAGTAAATGCATACATTTTCATACTTCTTTATTCTCCATACTGCCTGGCGGCAACATTAAATAGACATCCAGTTCTGGTTTAGTATTAGATTTAACCAACATAACTTTAAATTGAAATAAACCAACTATACAGTTGTATTGCACTAATCAATGATATCCGTTGATAAGATGTTGGCCTGAGTGTCTGTCTGTCTGTCTGTGCTATCATCCAAACTCTGCACTCATGGTCATGACAAACGGGTTAGCTTAACGTTGACAATGACAGCAAGCAATGGAGTTGGCAAGAGCACAGCAGATTTACGACCAGGCTAATAAGATGTCACTGGATTGTTATTTTAAAGCTCAAAACAAAAAGATATAATGGCCGGGATTCAAACCGAACGACAATGTCTTTTAAAGGGAATGTTCCTGCATTCGCAGAGATCGCATTCACGGTAAAACGCTGCGTATGTCCGCTCAATTGGAAATGACACTGTGAATGACATAGGCGCTACGGGATTGAATACCGCCCCGTCGTCTGGAGGACTCAGGAGGCTGAGCAGAGGAAGAGAAGGAGGAATAATAACCGTTCCCATGACAACATCCTCTTTATTGAAAGTTGGATTCCATAGAAGAAAACAACAGATTTCATGATTATTTTGGTCAACCTGTTGTTTTCTCCCATAGTCATAAGTAACCATTTGACATCATCATAATCATCATCATCATCATCATCATCATTGATGCTAAATATATATCACAGGACACGTCAAACACCACCAACAACAGAGTATCTGAATAGCATATTTATAAAAAAGAGACACGCACGTGGGGCAGAGCAAGGTGTGGAGATGAGAGAGAGAGTGTGAGGAGAGATAGAGAGTGGGAGAGAGGAGCAGAGAGATGAGGGGGAGTAGAGAGAGATAGAGAGAGCGATGGAGAGAGAATAGAGAGTAGAGCGATAGAGATAGGATCTTGGGTGTTTTTCTAAGAGCTCGTGGGTAGCTCGATCTCGGTTTTGTTCGCTCTCTCTATCGTTTTTTGCTTCTCTTCGTTCGCTCGCTCTCTGGTTCGCTTTTCTCTCTCTCTCGTCGTTTCTCTTTTTCTCCGTCGCTTTTCTCGTTCTCTCTCCTGTCGCTTCTCTCTGCTCTCGCTCTCTCTTCGTCTCTCTCTCTGCGCTCTGCCTCTCTCCCTCGCCTCTCTCTCTCTCGCTCGCTCTCTCTCCCAGGCCTCTCTGGGAGCGGAGGGGGAGAGAGAGGTGTGCTTTGGAATGTTTAGTTTCTATATCAAAGTAAAACTTTGCACAGACTGAAACTAAATAAATGTCTGTGTTAGTAATAGTTATAGCATGATGTCATGTTGCAGTTTCAGCGTGCTGGACTCCAGGACATCGAAACATGCAGTCTGATATGTAGTGGATCATCACATCTGCTTCTCTCTAGTTGGAAGGATAAATACTACAGTAGATCATTACAACACAGTCCTTCAGAGCAGGGTTGGAAGGGGGCAATTAAGTTGTTCAATTCAAGTGAATAGAAATTACATATGTGAATTTCTTCAATACAGGAACTGAATTTCAAATCACTTCCTGAATTGACTGAATTGACCCTATCCTGCTTAACAGATGTTGAATTGACCCTACCCTTATAAACAGCTCATTATCTCTGTCTGGGTTCCACTCTACACAAACAAAACCCCTTTGCAAAATAACTAACCAACTTGCATAAAACACCAATTAAACATGACCAGTAAAGGATTGTACTAGACGGAATATTCAACGATGCTCCTCTAGTAGCTCATACGGTATTTTACTGTAATCCATGGACTTTACTGTATTCCTACTGTAATGCATGGACTTTACTGTATTCCTACTGTAATACATGGACTTTACTGTATTCCTACTGTAATGCATGGACTTTACTGTATTCCTCCTGTAATCCATGGACTTTACTGTATTCCTACTGTAATCCATGGACTTTACTGTATTCCTCATGTAATGCATGGACTTTACTGTATTCCTCCTGTAATGCATGGACCTTTACTGTATTCCTACTGTAATGCATGGACTTTACTGGTTCCTCTGTAATCCATGGACTTTTCTGTATTCCTACTGTAATGCATGGACTTTACTGTATTCCTCCTGTAATCCATGGACTTTACTGTATTCCTACTGTAATCCATGGACTTTACTGTATTCCTACTGTAATGCATGGACTTTACTGTATTCCTACTGTAATGCATGGACTTTACTGTATTCCTACTGTAATCCATGGACTTTACTGTATTCCTACCATAATGCATGGACTTTACTGTATTCCTACTGTAATGCATGGACTTTACTGTATTCCTACTGTAATGCATGGACTTTACTGTATTCCTCCTGTAATGCATGGACTTTACTGTATTCCTCCTGTAATGCATGGACTTTACTGTATTCCTACTGTAATGCATGGACTTTACTGTATTCCTACTGTAATGCATGGACTTTACTGTATTCCTACCATAATGCATGGACTTTACTGTATTCCTCCTGTAATGCATGGACTTTACTGTATTGCTCCTGTAATCCATGGACTTTACTGTATTCCTACTGTAATCCATGGACTTTACTGTATTCCTACTGGGATGCATGGACTTTACAAGTTTAACCCAAACACAGTTCTTATAGCTTAGACTGAGGAAAGAAAACTCTTGGTCAACTGTTTGATTTCTTTCACTGTGAGAGATAGACTGTCTTGATTGGTCCATCAACCTACTCGTTCTTCTCTGTAAATCTAAAGCCCCACCGATGTAGAAAACCGAGCGAGAACACAACATGACAAGCAGATTAATAAAATACAATTGGATCAAATTACAAAGAAGATTTTGGACCAAAATAAAAAAATAAGTGCAAATTGTTGCGTGGAGGAGCAATTGGTGTTTGGCAGAATTATTATTTACAATTATTTATTTACTAAACTCAGAATCCGAACATTAGAATAGTTCTATACATAACATTACGAAATATTTGTCTATATAATTGTTCATAGTGATATCTATACAGCACAGACAAATACATGTAATATTACTATTGTTAACATTGTAATCCATTTTTAAATAGATTCATTTTTTATAATAATCTTTTCCATATTTTGTTACTGTGTTCAAGTTTTTCTTCATGTACTCTATTTTTTTCAGTTAGACGCCACAATAACTAACATCTAGTCCCTCCCCCTCCCTGTTCCCTTCCCTTGTGTTTAGGTAACCCTTCCCCCTCTCCCATTTACTCAGCACACAGACAGATGCGCAAACAGACACACACAGGAAGGAGTGTGGCATTGTGGGTACTGTAGTTTCCAGGCACCACACTCTCTGTGGAGAGAAAGAGAAGAAAGGAAACATTAAGAGAAGGGTATTTAAATCTGACCGTACGAGGTCCGGTGTACTGCGGGTTTTCTGTTCTAGCGGATAATGAATTGTACCCACCTGGTGTCCCAGGTCTAAATCAGTCCCTGATTACAGGGGAACAATGAAAAAAGGCAGCGGCACTGAGGTCCAGATTTGAATTTGTGGGCATTAAGACTTAAAGGAGATGAGCTGAACAAAAATGGAGAATCCTATTTGGGTTCACATACAGCATATACTTATCATGCAATAGGTGGTCATTCTGTGTGAGTTTAATTGCTAAAGCTTAAATGAAAACACAATAAACAGACCTTAAATAATTAATTGCTATATATGAATGTATAATAATATAATATATAACATAAATATAAAATATTCTTCATAAATAATCCCTCATAATATCAGTAAGGCATTGTCTAATAAAATATTATAAATAAACTAATAATAATAAAATAAACATGTCCAAAATAATAATAATAATAATAATAATAACAATAATAACAATAATAACAATAATAACAATAATAATAATAATAATAAATAATAATAAAAGTAATAATAATAATAATACATAATAATACATATTAATGCATATTAATACATAATAATAATAACAATAATAATAATAAATAATAAATAATAATAAATAAATAATAATACATAATAATAAGAAATAATAATAATAATAATAATAATAATAAATAACAAATAACAATAAATAATAATAAATAGTAATAAATAATAATAATAATAATAATAATAATAAATAATAATAATAATAAATAATATTAAATAATAATAAAAATAATAAATAATATCATAATGTGACTCACCAGCCGCCAGCTGCCTCCACACTTCCTCTTTCCTCCTCCTCCTCCTCCTCACATCTGATTGGAGAAGGAGGTGGGGGCCTGTCCATACTCTCCGCCCTCCTGGTTGTAACCCTGCTGCTGGTTGTATTCTGGCTGGTAGCCCCCCTGCTCGTACCCCGCCTGCTGGCCGTAGGAGTCTGGGGCGGGCTGCTTCTCCTGGGGAGGAGGGGCTCGCATGAAGGGGGCGATGATGCCGGTCTCCTTAAAGACGAACCACAGGTTTCCTCCCCACAAGACCAGGTTCATGAAGCCAAAACACTGGGAGGAGAGAGAGAAGGGAGGAGTGAGAGAGAGGCAGAGAGAGAGAGAGATAGGGGGGGGGGGGGGGGGGGGGCAGTTATATTACTATTAGATATATAGGTCTAGACAGGGGCGCAACTTTCACTGGGGACGGGGGGGGCATGTCCCCCCCACATTCTGAAATTGCATTTTTGTTCCCCTCAGTTTTATAATTGGAATGTGATATAAAATGTGATATAAAATGAGGCAACGGTGTGCTTTAGGACCCTGCGGACACCTCCGAGCAGTCAGCTGTTTGGAGTGTTTATAAAACTGGATAAAAAAATACATACACTACCGGTCAAAAGTTTTAGAACACCTACTCATTCAAGGGTTTTTCTTTATTTTTACTATTTTCTACATTGTAGAATAATAGTGAAGATATAACAACTATGAAATAACACATATGGAATCATGTAGTAACCAAACAAATGTTAAACAAATCAAAATATATTTGAGATTTGAGATTCTTCAAATATCCACCCTTTGCCTTGATGACAGCTTTGCACGCTCTTGGTATTCTCTCAACCAGTTTCACCTGGAATGCTTTTCCAACAGTCTTGAAGGAGTTCCCACATATGCTGAGCACTTGTTGGCTGCTTTTCCTTCACTCTGCGGTCCAAGTCATCCCAAACCATCTCAATTGGGTTGAGGTTGGGGGATTGTGGAGGCCAGGTCATCTGATGCAGCACTCCATCACTCTCCTTCTTGGTAAAATAGCCCTTACACAGCCTGGAGGTGTGTTGGGTCATTGTCCTGTTGAAAAACAAATGACAGCCCCACTAAGCCCAAACCAGATGGGATGGCGTATCGATGTAGAATGCTGTGGTAGCCATGCTGGTTAAGTGTGCCTTGAATTCTAAATAAATCACAGACAGTGTCACCAGCAAAGCACCCCCACACCATAACACCACCTCCTCCATGCTTCACGATGGGAACCACACATGCAGAGATAATCCGTTCATCCACACCGTGTCTCACAAAGACACCAACCAAAAATCTCCAATTTGGACTCCAGACCAAGGGACATATTTCCACCGGTCTAACGTCCATTGTTCGTGTTTCTTGGCCCAAGCAAGTCTCTTCTTCTTATTGGTGTCCTTTAGTAGTGGTTTCTTTGCTGCAATTCGACCATATGAAGGCCTGATTCACAAAGTCCCCTCTGAACAGTTGATGTTGGCTGCAATTTCTGAGGCTGGTAACTCTATTGTACTTATCCTCATGAGAGCCAGTTTCATCATAGCACTTTAAGGTTCTTGCGACTACACTTGAATAAACTTTCAAAGTTTTTGAAATGTTCCGGATTGACTGACCTTCATGTCTTAAAGTAATGATGGACTGTCGTTTCTGTTTGCTTATTTGAGCTGTTCTTTCAATTAACTTTTAAGAAGGCACACCTGTTTATTGAAATGCATTCCAGGTGACTACCTCATGAAGCTGGTTGAGAGAATGACAAGAGTGTGCAAAGCTGTCATCAAGGCAAAAGGTGGCAATTTGAAAAATCTCAAATATAAAATATATTTTGATTTGTTGAACACTTTTTTGGTTACTACATGATTCCATATGTGTTATTTCATAGTTTTGATGTCTTCACTATTATTATATAATGTAGAAAATAGTAAAAATAAAGAAAAACCCTGGAATGAGTAGGTGTGTCCAAACCTTTTTACCGGTAGTGTAGAGGGTAGTGCGTACAGCTCAGTAGTAGTAGTGTTTATATAAGTTATGTCCCCTAAACCAAAGTTGGGCCCCTGGGTCTAGATACTGGATGGGAAGGAGAGAGAGGGAGGGAGGAAGGGAGGAGAGGAATTGGAGAGAGGAAGGAAAGAGGAAGGAGAGCTAGGAGGGAGAGGAAGGAAAGAGTACAGGAGGACTGGCAAGGAGGGAGGAGGGGAGAGAGGAAAGAGGCAGGCGGCGGAGGGAGGGGGGGACACCCCGGGGGAAAGGGGGGAGGCCAGGGGGGGGTCCCCCAGGAAAGGGGGGGGGGGCCCCCCCCGGGGGGGCGCCCCGGGGGGGGTTTTTTGGGGGGGGGGGGCGGGTTTGCCCCCCCCCCGGGGGGGGTTTTTTTTTTTGGGGGGGGGGGGGGGGGGGGAAAAAAAAGGGGGGGGGGGGCCGGGCGGGGGGGGAAGGGCGGGGAAAAAGAGGGGGGGGGGAAGGGGATGGGGCCCCAAGGGAGGGAAGGGGCAGGGAGGAAAAGGGGGTGGGGGGGGGGCGGGGGGCTGGGGGGGGAAAAGGGGGGAAAAGGGCCCGGGAACCCTTTACAAAAAAGGGTCCCGGGGAAATTTCCAGGCCCACAGCCAAAGAGGGTGGGAAAAAAAGCCAATGAGATTTTATAAAAAAATAATAATTATAAAATCTTTCAATTATGAATGAAAATAATCTGTTACAATGCATGCCTATGGAAACGTACTGCTTTGACACAGAGATCCACCGCCGGAACTATTAATAAACAGAACATATTATTGCACTGCAAACGAACACAGCAGACACACTCACAACGTAAGATCACTGCTACAATGAACTGCTATAGCAAAACCAGACACTCACGACAGAGGTGTTGAGTCCGGACATGACAGGGTCATGAACCTCACGACAGAGGTTACCTTCCTCATCGCAGGCTGAGATCAGATCCACCACCTTCTCAGGGTCCGTGGACGCCTTGACATCCGACAGGCCCTTCGCCCACGCAGCTGAGCTGACCAACCACATGAAGGTGAACACACAGGTCACGCCAAAGTCCTGGGGTAGAAGGTAGAAGCACACACGGAAACGGGGAATGAGGTCAAACTCATAGAATGACGAATAGAACACCTGACCAAGATGGCCACCGTCATTATTCTAGAGCTAAGCAGGTCTATGACATCAGACCCTCTGGTGAATTACAACACACAGGAAGAGTGGGAAGGTTTCAAATGGTAAAATGATGTCAACTGTTAAGATAGATTGCAGAAGGCTACAGACCTTTCAGGGGGCAGGTATTCCAAAAAAAAAAAAAGGGCATATTAACTGCCTCTAGTTAGAATGAGCATAGGTCTATTAATTGTTTTACTATATGGTATATTAGCTAAGGTCTAGAATACCTGTCTTGCTGTAGCCCTGACACAACTCTCGACTGAAGAAGTGATGCTTCAGCCGCTCCTCTCTATGTCTTTCCGTCTCTCTCTGCTGGGCGTAGGTTATCAGCCAACCAGACCCAGTGTTGATGATGACGGAAATCAAGTTTCATCAAGTGTTAATCAAATGTTATGCTGCTGTGGTAGTACTGTAGCTAGACACACAGCAGACTGGTGACTGCATCTCAAGCCGTGCATGTTTGGATACCGAATGCGCGCAATCTCCATCCAGGGCTGACCGGGGGGAAAAGGTACACAAGTGGGCGCGCAAACTTCGTACAGGGCAGGTCAACAGGCGCAACCAACCAACGGATGGGGTGGGATAGGGGGTGGCGAACCTGACGACGTAACGACGACTTGGGGGCAAGTAGTTTCAGAACAATAACAACAGAAATGGTATAAAACTGTAAACAATGTGGTGATTCTGTTTTAGCTAGCTACACTGAACCCAAATATAAACGATTTTACTGAGTTACAGTTCATATCAGGAAATCAGTCAATTGAAATAAATAAATTAGGCCCTAATCTATGGATTTCACATGATTGGGAATACAGATATGCACCTTAAAAAAAGAAGGTAGGGGCGTGGATTAGAAAACCAGTCAGTATCTGGTGTGACCACCAATTGCCTCATGCAGCGTGACAAATCACCTTCGCATAGAGTTGATCAGGCTGTTGATTGTGGCCTGTGGAATGTTGTCCAACTCCTCTTCAATGGCTGTGTGAAGTTGCTGGATATTGGCGGGAACTGGAACACGCTGCCATACATGTCGATCCAGAGCATCCCAAACATGCTCAATGGGTGACATGTCTGGTGAGTATGCAGGCCATGGAAGAACTGGGACATTTTTACCTTCCAGGAATTGTGTACAGATCCTTGCAACATGGGGCCCTGCATTATCATGCTGAAACATAAGGTGATGGCAGCGGATCTCGTCACGGTTTCTCTGTACATTCAAATTGCCATCGATAAAATGCAATTGTGTTAATTGTCCGTAGCTTATGCCTGCCCATACCATAACCCCACCACAGGAAGCTGAGAACGGCTCATAATAATATCCGGAAGAATTCAAATGGAATGGCATCAAACACCTGGAAACCATGTCTTTGATGTATTTGATACCATTCCACCTGTTCCGCTCCAGTCATTATCACAAGCCCGTCCTCCCCAATTAACGTACCACCATCCTCCTGTGGCCCGTACCATAATCCCACCGCCACCATGGGGCACTCTGTTCACAACGTTGACATCAGCAAACTGTCTGCCATCTACCCGGTACAGTTGAAACCGGGATTCATCCGTGAAGAGGACACTTCTCCAGCGTGCCAGTGGCCATCTAAGGTGAGCATTTGCCCACTGAAGTCGGTTACGACCGAACTGCAGTCTGGTCAAGACCCTGGTGAGGATGACGAGCACTCAGATGAGCATCCCTGAGTCGATTTCTGACAGTTTGTGCAGAAATTCTTTGGATGTGCAAACCCACAGTTTCATCAGTTGTCCGGGTGGCTTGTTTCAGACGATCCCGCTGGTGAAGAAGCCGGATGTGGAGGTCCTGAGCCAAATTCTCTAAAACGACATTGGAGGCGGCTTATGGTAGATAAATTAACATTCAATTATCTGGCAACAGTTCTGGTGGACATTCCTGCAGTCAGCATGCCAATTGCACGCTCCCTCAAAACTTTAGATATCTGTGGCATTGTGTTGTGTGACAAAACTGCACATTTTAGAGTTGCCTTTTATTGTCCCCAGCACAAGGTGCACCTATGTACTGATCATGCTGTTTAATCAGCTTCTTGATGTGCCACACCTGTCAGGTGGATGGATTATCTTGGCAAAGGAGAAATGCTCACTAACAGGGATGTAAAACAAATTTGTGCAAAACAATTTAGAGAAATTCTATTTTTTGTGTGTATGGAACATTTCTGGGATATTTTATTTCAGCTCATGAAACATGGGACCAACACTTTACATGTTGCGCTTATATTTCTGTTCAGTAAATATATTTTACAAAATGTATACCACCCCAAAAAAGAAAACACTTGGTGAGTGGGAGAGCCTGGGCACAGGTTGACCCCTATATGTGGCACAGGTTGACCCCTATCTGTGGCACAGGTTGACTCCTATCTGTGGCACAGGTTGACCCCTATCTGTGGCACAGGTTGACCCCTATCTGTGGCACAGGTTGACCCCATCTTGTGGCAACAGGTTGAACCCCTATCTGTGGCACAGGTTGACCCCTATCTGTTGGCACAGGTTGGACCCCTATCTGTTGGCACAGGCCTGTACACACTATTCCCTTGGGCACCCCTCCCCCCACTCACGATGAGTGGTTCCCTCCTTGTGTTCCCTTGTTTCTCCCCGGTACTTTCTCCAGGGCGAAGACGTAACGCTGAGGGCAGCCATGGAGTAGAGGAAGGCGAACACACCGATGTGACGAAGAACTCTGCTGAGGGAAGAGTAGTTCACCAACCAGAAGGACGCTCGGGGGGACCCCCCTTACATGTCGGGGCGTCGAAGTATTTCTGGTGAAGCCGAGATGGAAGAGAGGAACAGGAGGGTAGTCACGACCTCGTTGATATGGAATAGTGAAGTGTGTGGGAAGTTCCATTAACCATCCTCGAATGATGATAATGCCTTGGAGCTAAAGACTTGTGTTAGCTCCTTGAGTCTATAACTCCGTGGGCCAATACAGTCTTGGCCCTGGTCAAAAGAGAGAAAAGAGAGAGCTTGACTAACCTGAAAGGATACTTGAATTCCACTTCTATATCATGTCAGGTCGCTCTCGTCCTGTTTTTTTACAACACACTTCCAACTCATCTTTGAACATCCCGGTAACTCCCACATTGAATAACTCAAAGATGGCAAGATCTGTCAGAAAGGAGTGAAGAGCATTAGCTCGTAGATGATGATGGTAGAGACTACATATGGGATCTGAGGTAGGGTAGAGCCGAAGCAGTCTGTAGAGCGTAGGGCTCTCCCGCCTCTCTTCGGAATCGAGGCAGGTCTCGAATACTAAGCCTGCAGCTACTGATGGCGACCATAATAGCTTTTATGAAGACTTCGTTTAGCGCTCCGCTCTACTCTCATTCTTCTTGTTCTCTCCCCCTCTACTTTTTCTCTTCTTTCTTTCCTCTCACGCCGCTCTTCATCCCATTCCTTTCTCTCCTCCTCTCTCTTCTCCCCTGCTTTCCTCCTCCGTCTCTTTGGCAGTCTTCTTGCGCTTCCGCCTCCTTTTTCTCTTCTTGCTTGCTCTCCTCCTCTCTCTTCTCTCTCTTTCTCGCCTCACGCGTCTCTGCTCCCTTTTGTTCGCCCTCCATTCTTCTCCTCCTAACCATTCACCATTATTATTTCCACACTGCCTTGACCCCTTAATTAGTTGGCCTTATTTTGCTCTTTGAATGCCATTTACACTCCCGGTTCAACCCACTAGGTTAATGTCATTTGAAAGTTTGTGGTTGACAATTGACAATAACACTCCCAACAAGGGCTGAAACCAACACGCACAACACAACACTGACACAAAAAACAGACCTTCACGAGTTAAAATAATACACTGTCAATACAAACAACACTTGACACTAACCTGTAAATCTCAATCTGTAATGTGTGTGATCAATGAAGTAAAGTATTAACCCTGTTATTTTAATAGGAGGACTATTGTTCCATGTATTCATGAAAACAACCCCACTGGGTCACACACTGGTTTGAATCAAAAACAAAATGTTCCCACCTCTTTCATGCAATCTGATCTGCCGTGTCCTCCCCCTTAAACTCTGGGTGGTTGTGTGTGTGTGTGTGTGTATTTGTGTGTGTGTGGGTGTGTGTTCGTGTGTGGTGGTTTTTTGTTTGTGTGTGTGTTTATGGGTTTGTGTGTGTGTGTGTGTTCGTGTGTGTGTGGTGTGTGTGTTGTGTGTATTGTGTGTGTGTGTGTATGTGTGTGTGTGTGTGTTCTGGTGTGTGTGTGTGTGTTTGTTTGTGTGTGTGTGTGTGTGTGTGTGTGTGGTTTGTGTGTGTTGTGTATTGTTGTGTGTGTGATTATGTTTGTTGTGTTGGTGTGTTGTGTTCGTGTGTTGTGTGTGTGTGGTGTTGTGTGTCGTGTGTGTCCGTGTGTGTGTGTGTGTGTGTGTTGTTTGTGTGTGTGTGTGTGTGTGTGGTGTGTGTTTGTGGGTTTGTGTGTGTGGTGGTCTGCTGGTGGGCGGGCCGCGCCCCCCGCCTTGGGCCCCTCCGCTCGCCTGCCGCCCCGCGCCCTCCGTTGCCCTACTCTCACTGGTCCTATCCACCCCTGTCGGCGAACTGCTGCTACCCATTTAGCTCTATCTGGACAGACTGTGATGACTGTTGTAGTTTTCCCTGGACAGAACTGTGATTATGTTGTTATTTGTTCCCTTGACAGACCTGTGATGAACTGTTTGTGTTTTCCCTGACAACTGTGGTGCTGTTGTATTTTTTTATTCTCGTGTTGACAGACTGTGGTGACGTTTTAGTTCTTCTCTGGACAGACTGTGGTGGATGTTTGTAGTTTATACCCCTGGACAGACGTGAATGGACTGTTGTAGTTTTCCCTGGACAGACTGTGATGACTGTTGTAGTTTTCCCTGGACAGACTGTGGTGACTGTTGTAGTTTTCTTTCCGTCTGACCGACGTGAATGGGACTATTGTAGTGTTTCCTTCCCTGACAACTGTGATGACTGTTTGTAGTTTTCCCTGGACGAACTCCCTGTGATGACTGTATGTAGTTTTCCCTGGACAACTGTGGTGACTGTTTGTATTTTTCTTTTTCCTTTTTCTTTTCCTTCTTCCCTGGACAGACGTGAGACTGTTGTATTTTTTCATTCCCTGGACAAGAACTGTGATGACTGTTTGTAGTTTTTTTCCCTGGCAGACTGTGAGTGTACTGTTGTATAATCCCATCTCTGGACAGCCTGGTGTGATTACTGGACCTGATTTCATGATTCAACTCATTCACTGCGGCCACCATTTGTCGCCATTACTCTTGTCCATATGTTTGTATTTCTGTTAAGGCGAGCTGCAATCGATAATACGTAGATTTTTGTCAAAAATATGACATTTCAGATAAGACAGATGTGAATCTGAGATGTACTACTACTACTAGCGTTCTGTCATTACTTTTCTCTGTAACTACTTTACTGATGTCCCCTTGTTGTAGGAGGAGAGTTCCCACCGGAATGGTGCTGCTTTTCAATTGTTTTTGCATTAAACTTTCAGTTTCTCAGTTATGATAGATGTAGATATGAATCTCTCATGAGGATAGTTTGTCTCCTGTTTTGTGTGAGGAGAGGTTCCATAGTACAAACAGTTTAATACATCTCAGGACTATGACCTGACCAGGACTAACTCTGGACTCAGTGTTGTTCCTGGTCAGAGACTAACTCTGGACTCAGTGTTGTTCCTGGTCAGAGACTAACTCTGGACTCAGTGTTGTTCCTGACCAGGACTAACTCTGGACTCAGTGTTGTTCCTGACCAGGACTAACTCTGGACTCAGTGTTGTTCCTGACCAGGACTAACTCTGGACTCAGTGTTGTTCCTGGTCAGAGACTAACTCTGGACTCAGTGTTGTTCCTGACCAGGACTAACTCTGGACTCAGTGTTGTTCCTGACCAGGACTAACTCTGGACTCAGTGTTGTTCCTGGTCAGAGACTAACTCTGGGCTCAGTGTTGTTCCTGGTCAGAGACTAACTCTGGACTCAGTGTTGTTCCTGGTCAGAGACTAACTCTGGACTCAGTGTTGTTCCTGGTCAGAGACTAACTCTGGACTCAGTGTTGTTCCTGTCGGAGACTAACTCTGGGCCAGTGATTGTTCTTGTCAGAGAGATGGGAAAGGGGTGTGTGAGTGAGAGAGAGCGGAGAAGAAGATAGAGAGATAGATAGAGAGATATAGAGAGAGAGCAGACGAGAGATAGAGATTTGAGATAGAGGAGAGAGCGAAGATAGATAGAGAGCGAGAGCTGGCGATATCTATAGATACGAGGGCGAAGTGGTGTGAGATAGAGTGTGTGAGTGAGAGAGAGCGAGAGAGAGCGATCGGAGCTACAGAAGAGCTAGAGAAGAGCATTAGAGCGAGAGATAGCGCATAGATAGAGGAGAGAGAGAGGAGAGAGAGAGAGAGAGATAGAGAGAAAGCGAGAGAGATATAGTAGAGTTAGAGAGAGAAAGAGATAGAGATAGAGAGATACTTCCCATTCCTAGAGCTTTGATAAAGCCCACGGGAACTTTGAGGTACTCCTGAACTGGTCCGCCCCGCGACCACTGGAGAAGAAAAAAATCATCATATCAACAGACCCATCATCATATCAACAGACCCATCATCATATCAACAGACCCATCATCATATCAACAGACCCATCATCATATCAACAGACCCATCATCATATCAACAGACCCATCATTATATCAACAGACCCATCATCCACATCATTGATTGGTGTAATATAATAGTAAAGCACTACACAGACAGCAGCAGTAAATAATACACTGGTACTAATATAGGCCTGGTATAGTGAAATACACTGGTACTAATATAGGCCTGGTATAGTGAAATACACTGGTACTAATATAGGCTGGTACAGTGAATACACTGGTACTAATATAGGGCCTTGGTATAGTGAAATACACTGGTACTAATATAGGCCTGGTATAGTGAAATACACTGGTACTAATATAGGCCTGGTATAATGACATACACTGGTACTAATATAGCCCTGGTATAGTGAAATACACTGGTACTAATATAGGCCTGGTATAGTGACATACACTGGTACTAATATAGGCCTGGTATAGTGAAAATACACTGGGACTCATATAGGCCTGGTACAGTGGAATACAACTGGTACGAATAGAGGCCCTGGTATAGTGAAATACCTGGTACTAATATAGGCCGGTATAGTGGAAATACAACACTGTACTAAAAGGCCTGGTATAGTGACATACACTGGTACTAATATAGGCCTGGTATAGGTGAAATACACTGGTTACCTAATTATAGGCCTGGTATAGTGACATACACTGGTACTAATATAGGCCATGGTAATAGTGAAATACAACTGGTAACTAATATAGGCCTGGTATAGTGGAAATCACTGGTAACTAATATAGGCCTGGTACAGTGAAAAACCACTGGCATATATAGGCCTGGTATAGTGAAATACACTGGTACTAATATGGCCGGGTATATGCCAACACTGGTCCTAATAAGGCCTGTATAGTGAAATACACCTGGTACTAATAATAGGCCTGGTACAGTGAAATACACTGGTACTTAATATACGGCCTGGTATAGTGAAATACAGCTTGGTACTAATATAGGCCTGGTATAGTGAAATTACACTGGTACTAATATAGGCCTGGTATAGTGAAATACACTGGTACTAATATAGGCCTGGTATAGTGAAATAAATTGGTACTAATATAGGCCTGGTATAGTGAAATACACTGGTACTAATATAGGCCTGGTACAGTGAAATACACTGGTACTAATATAGGCCTGGTACAGTGAAATACCACTGGTTACTAATATAGGCTGGTATAGTGAAATACACTGGTACTAATATAGGCCTGGTATAGTGAAAATCACATGGTACTAATATAGGCCTGGTTATAGTGACATACACTGGTACTAATATAGGCCCTGGTTATAGTGAAATACACTGGTACTAATATAGGCCTGGTATAGTGACATACACTGGTACTAATATAGCCTGGTATAGTGAAATAAATTGGTACTACTATAGGCCTGGTATAGTGAAATACACTGGTACTAATATAGGCCTGGTACAGTGACATACACTGGTACCTAATATAGGCCTGGTATCGTGAAATACACTGGTACTATATAGGCCTGGTATAGTGACAATACAACTGGTCCTAATTAGGCCTGGTATAGTGACATACACTGGTACTAATATAGGCCTGGTATAGTGAAATACACTGGTACTAATATAGGCCTGGTATAGTGAAATACACTGGTACTAATATAGGCCTGGTACAGTGAAATACACTGGTACTAATATAGGCCTGGTATAGTGAAATACACTGGTACTAATATAGGCCTGGTATAGTGAAATACACTGGTACTAATATAGGCCTGGTATAGTGAAATACACTGGTACTAATATAGGCCTGGTATAGTGACATACACTGGTACTAATATAGGCCTGGTATAGTGAAATACACGGTACTAATATAGGCCTGGTATAGTGACATACACTGGTACTAATATAGGCCTGGTATAGTGAAATACACCGGTACTAATATAGGCATGGTATAGTGAAATACACTGGTACTAATATAAGCCTG